GTGCCCGGGGTCCTGCGGGACGTGTCCCCCGGGCAACTCCTCCTCGACCGTCGCGGTAGGCAGGTAACCACCCCCAAAGAAACATTACGCGAGCTCGCCGCGGGCCTCCGCCTCCAGCCTCGACAAGCTGGCGCCCGAGGCCCTCGGCGGCGAGCTCTGAGCGCGCCCGCGTCGCGCGCCGTACAATATTATTGCGGCTGCCCCCGGAACAGGTTGCGATATAGATATCGTGAAGATCCCCTAGAGGATGCTCTCCAAGGGAAATGTCGCTTCGATGAAGTCCAATAAAAGCTTCAACCCTCAGTAGACGATGGCCAATGAATTTGTTTTTGAGGATGGGGAGTGGGGCGGACGAAGCGGGCGACGTCAGAGCCGAAGGAGCGGTCGAGTGTGACGAGTGGTGGCGTTGCGACGTAGTTGCGGCGTCGTGCTTTGAGGAAGTCTTCCATGAACATGTCGGTCGCTCGCTCGAAGCCGGTCGCTCGCACATGCTCGAGGAGGTGGGCGGCGCCTGCGCGCGTGAGGAGGTACGCGGACGAGCATGGGGCGCAGCGCAGGCAGCGGCCGACGTGCTCAGTGACGCGCGCGGCGAATTGCACGGCGGGGGGGAGGGGGTGCATGCAGAGGTCGTGGCCGAGCCAAACGACCTCGGCGTCGTGCGGGAGGTCGGCGGCGAGCGCTTCGAGGCCGGCGGCGAAGTCGGGGGCGAGTCGCACGTCGTCTTGGACGATGACGGCGTACTGCGAGAGGAGGTCAAAGCGGCGCGCCTCAAAGTCGTCGCCGTTGTCGCCGCCGCCGTACGTCCCCCCGGGGGGGGAGAGCTCGTCGTCGCTCGGCGCGACGCGCTCCCAGATGCGGCTGTGACCGAGCTGATTGGCGATGATGGCGCGGAGCGCGGTGACTGAAATGTCCGGCGCGGCGGTGGGCGGGAGCGGGTGGCGCACGAGGTCGAGCGGTGCGAACTTGAGGAGGTCGGCCGTGTCGAAGCTCGCGGTGTCCGCGTCGAGCGCCTCCCACCGCTCGATCGAGAGGTGCTCCTCGAGGCCCTCCAACTGCGAGGCCATGTGCCGCAGCCGATCGGCGCGGCGCGCCAGGTTGATGAAGTACAGCTCGGGCTTTGAAGAAGAAGAAGAAGAAGAAGAAGAAGAAGAAGAAGAAGAAGAAGAAGAAGAAGAAGAAGAAGAAGAAGAAGAAGAAGAAGAAGAAGAAGAAGAAGACGCCGCTGCGGGACATCGTGGAGCGGAAGTTCGCGATTCTACGAGTGACGCCGGCGCGGCCCCCGATCGCCGCCTCCGCTGCAAGATTGTGAGCCCGTTGCAGTGCGCGTGGTGCTCGGCGACGCGCCAGCTCCCCTCCGCGACGAACTCGTCGATGGCCTGCTGGAGGCCGAGGGCGTGCTCTCGAGCGGGGATTCCGGTGGCATCGGCGAGTGCATCGAGGTCCATCCCGAGGCGCACCGCCTCGCCGCGCTGGCCGTCGACTTCGGTGTCGTGGATGGCGATGTACGAGCGCGTCGTCGCGCCGAACTTCTCGAGCTCGCGCCTGAGCTGGCCGTAGGTGTGCAGCGTGTCGATGAAGACGACGTCCACGGCGCCGACGTCGAGGTGTAGGTCGGAGACCGACCAGTGCTCCTCGACTCGCACCCCCGCGGCCGCCACCGCAGCGAGGAATCGCGGCTCCGCGCCCACGTCCGCCGCGACGTCGTTGCGCACGAGCCGACGGCGGCCCTTGCGCCGCCACGAGCGCGCGAGGCCGTGCGCGAGGGCCCACGACGCGACGCCGTGGCGGACGCCGCACTCGAGCACCGAGCGCGCGTCGGCCGCCAGCGCCTCGAGCCGGCCCAGGTGGCCGCGCACGTCCGAAACCGCCTCGAGCCGCGCCGCGTGCCCCCGACCCAGGTCGCTGCCGCAGAGCCCCTCGACCAGCCCTCGCACGCGCGCGAACGCCTCGTCGACGCACGCCGCCCTCGGCGCCGCCAGCTCGTGCGCGCACACGCCGCGCAGCTGCGCGTCCAACAAATGCCGCATCTCCTCCAACGACCCCACCGACCGCAGGTCCACCACCTCCATCTTCACCTTCACCCAGCCCAAATCGACCATCAGGCCCTCCGAGAAAGCGCACGGCAGCAGCGGTCCCGTCGTATTCGTCCTCGTCACAGCGGCCCTGGCCGAGCCGCTCGCAAACAGCGACGCGCGCCTCGAAAGTAGTATCAATGTCCACAGCGCCAAACGCGGCGCATTCATAGCCCACCACCGCATCCTAGCTCAACCTTGAGCGGCTTTGGCGTCTGAGCTCACTCATTGCGGCTACCCCCGGGCGGTGGTGTATCAGATGTCATGTTGAAGGTACCTCGGTGAAGAAGTAACAGTAACTGTTACTGTTCATACTATTGTAAACCTCGAAGCAACGGGCTGCCCGACGCAGCGCGCCATGCCGTACGCGGCGCTCGCGCTCCTGGTCGCGATCGCGCCGCGCGCCGCGGCGAAGCCCGGCAAGGGCATGTGGCAGACGGCGGGCGCCGGCGACGCCGCGGGCTGGGACGCGCCGCGCTCCAACGCGAGCGGCGCGCCGCGGCTGCCCTTCGACGTCGACCCGCCGGCGAAGCGCTTCGCGCTCCTGCGGAGCGACGCCTGGCAGCCCAACACGAAGTACTTCGGCGTCGCGGGCCAGTCCCTGTCCAACAACCGGCGCCAGGCGCTGACGCTCGCGGCGATCGCCGCGTCGCTCCTGAATCGGACGCTCCTCGTCTGCGACGCGCCTATAACCGAGCTCTACGACATGGAGGCGCTCCTCGCCGTCGCTCCCGTGCAGGTCACGTACCGCTGCGCCAAGTACGACCCGCGGAACACGGGCAGGCCCCACTGCACGCCGAGCCCGCTCTGCGACCAGGACCAGTGGCGCTTCGCGCTCGTGCCGAAACCGAACTGCCGGTCCGCGAACTGCCGCACGCGCCTCGGCGGCGGCAACGCCGTGAACGTCGCCGACCTTTTGCGCGACTTCGCGCACTCCGGGGAGCGCGTGCTCTGGTCGCTCTACTGGGGCGTCGCCAGTTACATTTTCCGGACGAAGACGAAAGCCGAGGCCGCGGCCGTGTCGCGCGCGTTCCGCGCCGTGCGCTACGCGCGGCGGCTCCACGACGACGCCGCCCGGCTCGCGCACGCCATGCCGGGGCTCGCGAAACCCTTCGCGTTCCACGCGGCGCACGTGCGCACGGGCGACCGCGACCCGCACCCGCTCGTCGACTGCGCGGGGCTCTTCGGCGGGACTTATTTCGCGAAGCAGGACATCTGCGGCAAGGGCAAGAAGGACGACAAGCAGGGCAAGTGCCGCGCGAAGGGCCGCGACGTGTCCTTCGCGGACGCGGCCAAGCTCGCGGTCGAGCGCGGGTTGGTGCGGCGGGGCGACGTCTTCTACGTCGCCACGGCCGACGCGAAGCACCCGGCGGTCGTCCAGTTCCGCGGCGTGCTGAGCGCCGCCGGCGTCGCGTCCTACGCGCTCGGCGATCTGCTGTCGGCGACGGGCCTGTCCCTGCCGCGGACGACGCCGTCCTGCGCCGGCGGCGGCCCGGGCGGGTCGCTGCGAGATCAGCGGCCGTGCCTGCGCGCGAACTTCGACTACGTGAGCTCCGTCGACCAGCTCATCGTCGCCGCCGCGCGCGGCGGCGTCCACGTCGCCGACTTCCCGTCGACGTGGGACGAGCTCACGGTCGAGCTCCAGTGCGAGGCCCGCGACGCCGCGGGCGACGCGCCGGGCGCGTCCTGCGCCGCCGCGGACTACTTCCACGCGGCGCCGCGGCCGCCCGCGCCGCCCTTCTCGCCCGCGGACAACAAGCGCGTCTTCACCGCGGCCCTCGATCGCTACTGCGGGATCTTCTAAGTTTTAGCACGTGAAGATGGAGAGGAGCTTGAACTTGCCCCGGTCGCCCGGGTCCGGCCGCAGTTTGACGACGACGGGGTTCCACACCATGGCGTGGTTGTGGCACGCGACCTTGAACTGCCGCACGACGGCGAGGGACTCGGCCTGGGGCCACGTCGCGTTGAGCGCGACGGTGTCGACGGCCGAGACCCGGACCTTCGACCCCGGCGCGGCGGCGTAGGCCGCGCACTCGTCGTCGCCCGCGCAGATGAGCTCGTTGAACTTGATCTTCTCGACGTCGATCGTCGCGAACGTCGCGGTCACGGAGCCCATGCCCTCGTAGCTCCGCAGGTACTCGAGGCCGACGGTGCCCGTGTGGCCGCAGGGGACGACGATGGACAGCTCGGAGGTCGCGGTCGCGGTCGCGTTGACGATCCAGCCCGGCGGCTTGTCCGGGCGGTCCCGACGCAGCGACCAGCCGCCGCCCGCGCGGACCTGGGCGCCCGGGCTCGCCGCGGCCTCAACGTCGGCGGCGACGAGGTGCGCGGCCATGCCCAGAGAGCAGGCGGAGAGCTCCGCGAGCTCGTTAGCGCTCGCCAGCGTGCCGCCGGCCGGCGCCCAGTCGGGGACGACGGCGCCGTCGCCGCGCTCCGCGCGCCGGACGAGCGCGAGGACCGCCGCGTGCGCCGCGTCGGCGACGAACTCGTGCGCGGGCACGCCCGGGTGGTGGTCGACGTCGCCGCCCTTGGCCGCCGGCGCGCGCCAGAGCCTGTCGAGGCGCGCGTTCCCGAGGAACTCGCCGGCGGGCCAGAGGCCGTCGTGGTCCTGCAGCGCGAAGGACGACGCGCCGTGGAATCGGGCGACGCGGTCGTAGATGCGCGCGTGTCCCTGGAGCACGGCCCCGTAGGCCGCGGCGCGCGCCGGGTCGGCCCAGAGCGCGCGCCAGCCCTTTAAGGCCGGCGCCGTCGTCGGCTGGTGGAACTTGGGCGGCAGGATCGTCGTGAGGAAGAGCACGGCGGGCGGCGGCTCGCGCCGGCTCCCCGCGAGCTTCGCGAGGGCCACGAGGAAGGCCTCCGCCGCGACGCTCACGAGCTCGTCGACGGCCGCGCCGCCCTCGCGCGCGTCCTCGATCGTCGGCCGGTTGTCGTTCTGCGAGTAGTCGACGACGACGATGTCCGTGCCCGGCGGGACGTGCGTCGACAGGAGGCTCACGCACCAGCCCAGGGACGACGCCGGCTCGCACGCGTTGTGGAGCGTGACGCCCGCGCCGAGGCTCGACCGCAGCTTCGCGAGCAGCCGCGCAGGCCAGGCCTTGGTCTTGTCGTTGTGCCGCTTCGCGAGGTTGCCGCCGCACGTCATGGACCCGCCGAGCACCGCGATCTTCATCTGCTTCGCGCATCGCCACTTCGCGACCACGCGTCCCCAGCCCCGGCCGGCGACGCGGAGGCCGGACTCGTCGACGGCGCCGAAGCGCACGACCGTCGCGTTGCCGCCTCCGGGAGGGGCCGCGCACGCCGTGGCCTTCGCGGGCGAAGACTTCGCGCGCGGGGGCGCCGCCGCGCGCGGGGGCGCTGCGGCCGGGGCTTCCGCGGGCGAGGCTTCCGCGAGCGGAGCTTCCTCGGGCGGAGCGTCCGCGGGCGAGGCTTCCGCCGCGGGCCGGGGCGCCGCGGCGGCGGCGGCGGCCGCCTCCGCCGCGGCGGCGGCGGCGGTCGCCTCCGCCGCCCCGCTCGGCGCCCTCTTCCGCCGCCCCGCCCGGTGCCCGCGCAAGTTCGCCTTGGCGCGGGTGAAGAGCGCGTCCGCCTTCGCCTGGGACGCGCGCACGAGGCGCCGCCGCTCCGCGGGGCCGTCGTCGTACGCGGCCTCCCGCGGGGCCTCGTAGGCGCCGACGGGGAGCTCCTCGGGGAGGTAGTGGTCCGGGCCCGGCGGCGGCCCCTTCGCGTCCTTGCAGCTCGACGGGTATTTCTTGAAGTCGCAGTAGCTCCCCGCGAAACGGCACTTGAGGAGGTCGACGGAGCCGCCCTGGGGCCAGCGGACGCTGTTCTTGTCGTGCTTGCCGAGGACGTTCGGGTCGACGAGGCAGGTCGTGTTGAGGTCGACGAGGACGCTCAGGGACATGGCGGGCTGGGCCCAGTTCAGCCGCTGCCAGCAGCAGGGCGACCCCCACGTCCGGTACGCGAAGTCGTGGTGCTCTTCGAAGTAGGGGATCTGGTAGCCGCGGACGATCCAGTACTGGAACCAGAAGCGCCGGAATTTGTCGTCGGGCACGCGGCTCCGGATCGCCGGCACGAGGCTGCGCTCGAGCTTGCCGCAGAAGTGGTCGCCGATGGGGACGGCCTTGCCGTAGAGCGCGCGCGCGGCGCCCGACGACGCGCAGTGGCTGTAGGCCGTCGCGTAGGCCCGGAGCCACCGCGGTCTGCCGACGGCGAGCTGGTCGTTGAAGGGCATGTCCGCGCCCGCGGGGACGAGGAGCGCGTCGGCCGCGGCGGCCCTGGCCATGTCGAAGGGCTGCGGCGGGTAGCTCAGGTCCGTGCGCGCGAGGAGCACCGCGTCGTAGTCGACGCCGCCGCGGCCCGCGGCGACGTGGGCCTCGAGCATGCGCCAGCCGAGCTCGACCTTGCGCGCCTTGGAGATCATGGCCTTGAGGTCGCCGCTGCGCCCCTTCTTCGTGTCCGCCTCGACGCACTTTTCGTGGCGCCGCGGCGCGTCCGCGCAGACGGTCACGCGGTGGTCCGTCCGGAGCCGCTCCATGATCGGCGCGCCCCAGCGCTCCACGTGGACGCGGCGCCGCGGGAGCCGGAGGATCGTCGACGCGACGAGGTCCACCTCGGCCTCGTCCTGCGCGTAGACCTCGAAGAAGAGGTCCATGGGGCCGTTGGGCCCGAGGAAGGTCCGCTGGAACATCTTCCGCGACATGCTCCACGTGCGCACCATGCCGAAGAGCACCGCGGCGTACTTGGCGCCGGCGTCGGCGATCGTGGCGTGCTCGAAGGCGTCCGCGGACGACAGGTGGCGGCCGTCAGCCCACCACCGCCGGAACGCCGCCTCGCCGCTGCTGTTGGAGACGTTGATCGGGCGCGCCGCGGCGGCCGTCGGCGAGGCGTCGATCGCGGGTCCGAGGAACGCGGGAGCGGCGGAGGACTCGGCGGCGGCGGCGTCGGCCCCCGCCGCGGCGCTGCGATTCGACGTCGCGCCTCCATCGACGAGCGCCGGGCTGCCCCGGGGCTTCGGCGCCGGGCGCCTGTTCCGCAGCATGAACCCCCGCCCCACCGGGTGGACGTGGGGCGCAGTGTGCGACCGTTGGACATGTAGCGCCAGGCGCCGCGCGTCCGTCTCGTCCGGGGCTGCCCGATACATGCAAAGACTCAGCAGCATCAGATTCATAGCGATGGATCCACGGCGACCCGCCGCGAATAGGTTCATAGCGATGGATCGCTACCGTCGCGACCGCGGCGGCAGCGCCTTGATCGACGGCGTGCCGGTTGCCCCCATGCTTCGAACTACAGTAGGGATCCCTTAGTTGAGGTGTTCAACGAAGGGGGTATTGAATAACTCCGGATGCAGTAACTGTTGCCGAGATGGTATTCCCGAGGGGGTTGACCGCCGGTATGCCTGGTAGTATGCGCCCGCTATGCGGGCTTTATGCGGGCTTATGCGGGCTTTATGCGGGTGGTATGCGGGTGGTATGCGGGTGGTATGCTGGTGGTATGCTGGTGGTATGCGGGTGGTATGCGTCTGCTATGCCGGTGGTATGCGGCTGCTATGCCGGTGGTATGCGGCTGCTATGCTGGTGGTATGCGGCTGCTACGCTGGTGGTATGCTGGTGGGCTGCTATGCTGGTCTTATGCGCCTGCTATGCTGGTGGTATGCGGCTGCTATGCTGGTCTTATGCGGCTGCTATGCTGGTGGTATGCGCCTGCTATGCGCCTGCTATGCGTCTGCTATGCGCCTGCTATGCGCCTGCTATGCGTCTGCTATGCGCCCGCTATGCGTCTGCTATGCGGCTGCTATGCGGCTGCTATGCTGGTGTATGCCGTGGCTGGTGTATGCCTGGTGGTCGGCCCCCTCTGTGGTATTCCGGCTGCTCGATCTTATGGTGTCTTCCTCCTAGGCAGGAGGAGGTAACCCGGAATCCGCAGGACAAACCCTAGTGCGTGCGTGCCAGCTTGCTTTGCAAATGGAGCGCGCGGTGGGCAAGGCCCTGATGGCACGCCGAGCCGCGCGGCCGCGGCGACCAAAGAGGAGCCCGTGCGCCGGGGCTTCCGCGTGTTTTCCGACGCGACGCCCGCGGACGCGGCGTGGGCGGCGTTGCTGCTAGCCATAGCTTCCTTCCTCGCCGCGGCGCACGAGCGGCGGCTCCTCGCCGGCAGCGTGGCGTTCGCGACCGTCGCCGCGCGTCGCTCGCGGCCGGCGGCGCCGTTTCACATATATTTCAAGCGGCGGCACCAGCCGCACCGGCTCCTCGGGCTGAGCTACCTCGCCCAGTGGACCTACGCCCTTGTCATGTACTTCGCCGACTACGCCGCCCTCCGCGACGGCGTCATCATACGCCTATGGTTGGTTTCGGCACTATGACCGCCGGCTAAAATTACCGAGAATATACTGGGGATGGTAATTCACTAGTAATTACTAGTAATTACCGCTGCTCCAAATCAGCTACCGAGTAATGCGACACCATGGGACTACTCATGTCCATTGATTTTCGTTGCATATAAGCTGGACACCACTCGATTTCACAGAATAGTCGCAAGTTTTGGCTCTATCGACCAGTTTTGATCCATCAGAGGTCACTACATGACTCGTGTATGCTCAAATGAGTGGTTTTGGGGCGACGAAGCTGTGGCCGCGGCCAGCGCCAAGGTCGGCCTGCCCAACCTTGAGTAATTACCAATGAAATTCCCATTTCATGGGAATTACTGGTAATTACTGCCCTGTATTCTTAGTTACCGAGGAATCCGGCGCTCATATTCGGCTTATTCGGCACTGCGTCGCGGTCTCCAGGGTGTCGCCCCCCTTGGATGAGTAATAAATGATGAGTCGAATCGATGGGCAGCCCGCGCGGCCCGCGCTGCTGTGCGCCTTGGCGTCGGTGCTCGCCGCGGCGACGGCGCCGGACCCGCGCGTAACGGTGCCCAGCGGCGCGTCCCGCGCCGACGCCCCGCGGGTCGAGGCGGCCGCGCGCGACGGCCTCGCGCGCGCGGTGCCGCTCGTCGGCTACGACCGCGCCCGATGTTTGGACGGCTCGCCGGGCCGCTACTACGTCGACGTGTACGGCGACAACACGAAAATCTACGTGCACCTGCAGGGCGGCGGCTTCTGCGGGTCCCTCGGGGCCTGCGCGAACCGGTCGCGGACGCCCCTCGGCTCGACGCGGCCGGACGTGCCGGGCGCCTGGGGCCCGACGCTGGACCTCGCCGCGGAGCGGCCCTACTTCTCGCGGAACGCGACGCGCAACCCGCTGCTCGCGGACTTCACGCACGTCTTCGTCGTCTACTGCGACGGCGCCTACTTTGCGGGGAACGTCGCGGACCCGGCCCCCGAGCCCGGCGGCGACTCGCTCTTCTTCCGGGGGCGGGCCATCCTCGACGCCGTCGTCGCGGACCTCGACCTCGCCGGCGCGACGGACGTGATCCTCGGGGGCTGCTCCGCGGGCGGCATCGCGACGTTTTTACACCTGGACGCCGTCGCGGCGTCGCTGCGAGCGATCGCGCCAAACGCGGCCGTCGCGGGCTTCGCGGACAGCGGCTACTACGCCGACGTGCCGTACTACACGAACCAGAAGCGTTTCCCCTTCGAGGCGCAGAACGTGACGGCGGACCCGCGGTGCCTGGCGGACCACGCGGACCGCCCGTGGGCCTGCCTCGTGTCGTCCGTGACCGCGAAATACGTGCGCGCGCCGCTCTTCGCCTGGCAGTCGAAATTCGACGCCGACCAGCTCGCGACGAGCTTCGCGGCGCCCTGCGAGAACGCGTCGTGCGCGGACCCCTACGGCGCGGCGCGCAGGCGTTCGCGGCGCGCGGCGCCGCGGCGGGGGCCTTCGTCGACGCCTGCCACCGCCACTGCGACCGCGTCGACGCGGGCCACGACGTGTGGAATATCTCCGCGCAGGGCACGACGCCCCTCGTCGCGCTCGCGGACTGGTTCTCGCACCCGCGCGGGTTCCTCGTCGAGCAGGCGCCGAACGCGTCCTACCCCTGCGAGTCGTGCTGCTAAATAAACCCGTGGGTTACATGTACGTTTCTTCGGAATTTCGTGCCGGCAGGACCTGGGCTCCTCCCGCGTCGACGTCGTATAGCTCGACGGGCCGCCGCCGGAGATCAGCGCGACGGCGCGCCGCCACCGGGTCGTGGTGTGCTCTTTGCTGGGCTGCTTCTCGGGCGCCTCCGCGCCTTTGGCGTGCCCTTCCACGTCGGATGCCGCCGCGCCTTTCATAATAATAATATCATCATGGCTCATGGTTGGGTTTGCATGCGCGAAGACGGGCTGCCATCGTTCATAGGAGTGGTCGGAGAAAGTGCGGAATTAGCACTAAGCTTCACGGTGACTTCATCAGCGAAACATTGTCACCGTAGGCCGGCTTTGTGTTAATTAAAAAACATCGGGCTGCATTGGCCGTTCGCTAGATCAAGGGGGGGCATGGGCTGGTCTGTCGCTGCGTTTGCATGGATCTGCCTCATCGCGCGCGCAAGTGCCCAGGGCACCGCCGCGACGGCGGACGGGAGCAGCATCGCGACGCGAACGAGGAATTCCGGCTACCGGGCCCTCGTGCAGCGCATCGTCGACGACGGCATCGCGAAGCATCCCAAGTTCCGCGAGCTCAAGCCCTACCAGCACATCGTCAGCCTCATGTCGAAGGCGCAGGGCGCGCACCGGCGCCGACGTCCCGCCCGCCTCTTCGAACCCCGCCGGTCGACCGCCGCGTCGCAGGCGGGCACATGCTGGAGACGGCCCAGGCCGTCGACGGGTCGTTCCTGGCCTCGGACGCCTTCCTCGCCGGCGCCGCGGAGCACGGGCGCATCGGGGGCGGGCCGTCGGTGCCGCTCCGGGGCCACCGCGTGCCGACGACGCTCTGGCGCTACGCGCGCCGCCGCGCGGGACTTTGCGCGGGCCCGCGCGGAGCGCCGACGCGCCCCCCGCAGGCGCGCGTGTACGCGGACCTCCGCGCGCTCTTCGGCGCCGGCTCTGACTTCGACGCGAACGTCGCGGAGGTCGGCGTCGGCTACGGCGCGCAGAGCGACGTCGTGCAGCGCCTCGGCGGCCTCTTGGACGGCGCGCCGGCCCGCGACCGCCGGTACACGCTCTGCGACCTGCCGGAGGTCGAGAAACTCGCGGGCCAGTACCTCGCGGCCGTGCGGCGATCGGAGGAGCCGCCGCGGGCGACGCTCAACGCGGCGCCCGACGCGACGGCGACGTGCGGCGCGACGAACTTCACGCTCTTCCTGTCCAACTACGCGTTCTCGGAGCTGAGCGCGGACGTGCAGCAGATCTACTGGGACCAGATCGTCAAGTGCTCGGCGCGGGGCTACGTGACGATGAACGGGTACAACGGAATGACGACGCGCGACCCGGGGCCGACAAAGGGCGAAGCGACGTCGCTTCGACGCGCCGAGCGCGCTCCAGAGAGATCCCGTCCACGCTTCGAGAACGCTTCTCGTGGAGATCGCTCGTCCAAAGAGGAGCCGAAACAAGTGGACCGCGGCCGAGCGAGGCGCCTCCGTAAAGTCGGGCACGTCGCACCCTCGCGTCCCCCAGGCTCGACTTCATCGCTCGGCTCCGCCGCGCGGGCTTCGGCGACGCGACGCTCATGGACTCCTACCCCCAAGAGCTCTGCCCGAACATCACCCAAGGCGTCGTCGTCTGGGGCGCGCCCCTCGCGGCCGTCGAACGGGTCGAGGCCGCGGCACTCGGCACGCCGGCCCTCAGGAGCAAGCAGGCGAAGAAGGCGCGGGAGTGCGCCGCGCACGCCACGCGCTGGTGCCGCGAGTCCCGGTCGATGCCCAGCCGCCGCCAGTTCCGGATCTGGTGCGACTACGACAAGAACATCAACGCGATGCAGTGGCGCGCGGCGGACGCCGCGCGCGCAGCCGTGCGGCACTAGCTCCCCGCGGCAATGGCCGGTCGTAATCCTATGCGTTCAAGTTCTCTCCTTCCGACCAAGTCGGGGCCGCATTCGCGGACATTACGCTCCAGACGCCCTGCCGGGATCCCGAGGATCCGAGGGCGCAGGGGGCATAATAACTTTGGGGCTTCGCCGTCTGTGGCGCTGGGCAAGCCGATCCTCCCCCCGTGGGCCCCGGTGGCGATGCGCGACAAGTACGCCCGCTGGATGTCGTTCCGGCCCCTCATGTCGCTCGGCGGACTTGACTAGAGGCTAGCTCAGCCCCATCGAGGCCGTTTCGCCGTACCCTAAACGTTTTTTTAATGGGGCGGCGCCCCATTTGCGAATCAAAAAGGGTACGGGACCCCTGGCCAAGTCTCTATTTTCTAGGATTTTTTGAAGATAACGATGAGCGCGGGCTGCGCTTCGCAGGGCATGGGCGAGTCGCCTCTTTCGGCGCGCAATGCGGGTGTCTCGGGGCATACGATCGTCCCTGCTTCCTCCGCTGGACACCGCGTGCTGGCATGTCGATGAATGGTCGAATCGCCGGCAAACTTTGTGGGATTGGGTGTGTCACAAAGGGAGGGCGTTTATGTACGGGAATGGCTGACGAGGCCCGAAATAAGATCATCCCAACCGCTGGATGCCCCGCTGGACGCGAGGGGGGTCGCGGCTTCGAATCTCCCTTCCGCGAAGCGGCGCGGACGGCGCGGACGGCGCGGACGGCGCGGACGGCGCGGACGGCGCGGACGGCGCGGACGGCGCGGACGGCGCGGACGGCGCGGACGGCGCGGACGGCGCGGACGGCGCGGACGGCGCGGACGGCGCGGACGGCGTGGACGCGGCACGGGGTCAATTTTTTGGTTCCAACGAGTGATCTCACGGATGAAATAAGATCTCCGATGCTGGGAGAGGTCGACAGAGAGATACGACCCCGACTCCGCGGACAACGAGGCCGGGCGCTGCGCACCGTGGCCCGAGTGCGTGACCGGGCCGCAGGAGCTATCCGAGTTCCCCGACGCTCTGCGTTCCTGTTAGCCCCCCCCCGGCCCCTACGGCCCTAATGAAGCGGCCTGCGCCGCCTCAGGGTCGCCCTGGTGCCGTTTGGAGTCTAGCTGGCCGTACTTGTCGTGCTTCGCCACCCCGGCCCGGGGCCTTTGGCCCCTGCTGGGGGGCAGCCCCCCTACCTACTTCAACTTCTTCCGTCCGAGACCTTCTACCTATCCCGATAGATCGGCCTGTGCTTTACTTAACTTTACCCAGTCCGATGCGCTGCCCAACGGTGGCAGCATTCGCGGCGCTCGCCTGCGCGCGCCGCCCGCCGGCGCATCGGACGCCGAAGGCGCACACGCCCAAGCGCGACTACCGGGCGTCCTCCAGCGCGACATCCACGCCCAAGCCGAAGCCGCCGCCGATCCGGCCGCTCCGCGGACCCCAGCGGTGCCGGCCGCGCGTCGCGCCCGCGACGCCGCCGGCCCGCCCCTACGCGCTGCTGCTCGCGGGCGGCCTGCGGTCGTTCCTGGTGACGTGGCCGCTCACGCTCGAGAACCTCATCAACAAGAACGGCGGCCGCGCGAACTGGTGGATCGCGCTCGTGGCGCCCTACGATCCGCGCGAGCGCGCGCTCGCGGACGCCGCCGTGGACCTCGCGACGCGGCGCCACGGCTTCGACTTCGTGCGCGTGGTGCCGGAGAACGAGACGGCGACGCGCGCCTTCTACGCGGGCGTCGACGACGTGCTCCGGTACCTGCCCGGCGACGAGGCGACGAGCTTCGGCATCTCGCGGCAGGTGACGCAGAATTGGGTCCGCTGGTCCATGGCCTTCCAGTGGGAGAGCGTCACGCGCGCCTACGACGCGCTCGCGAACCTGACGAACCCAGCGGACCTCGCGCTGGTCACGCGCATGCGCCCGGACACGCTCCTGGCGCGGCCGCTCGACCTCGAGGCCGTCGCGGCGAAGCTCGACCGGCGGCGCCAAGACGCGCTCGTCCCGTGCCTCGTCAACACCGCGAGGTTTATCGACGATTTTATCGTCGCGCGGCCCGCGGCCATGGCCGACTACGCCCGCGCCTGGGACGGCGCGCAGGAGGCGGAGCACCACGTCTACCGCGTCGTCGGCGCGTGCCCGCTCGTGGAGCGTGTCTTCCACGCGACGCTCGAGCTCGCGTTCGCGGCGGACTACGCGCGGGACGGGACCTACAACGCGTCGCACGATAAAACGCACCGCCGGTGCCTCGGCAACGTCAACGACCGCCCCTCTCTTGGGCCGCGGAAGCCCGGCCAGAAGTTTCCTGTGGCGCCGGCGCCGATCATCGACAACCCGCGGCGACCCGCGCGCCTCCCGGCCTTCAACGCGACGGACCTCGGCCTCGTGGCGCGGTTCAACGCGGCGACGCGGAACGTGACGTTCTGCGACCGGCCCGGCACGGAGTTCAAGAAACCGGGCGCGGCGTGCGAGGAGGTCGTCCGCCGGCTCGCGCGGCAGCCCCGGGCGCGGAAGCCGCCGGTCGTCCACCGGGCGCGGGCGCCGCCCAAACCGCGCGCGACGTCGTCGCCGCCGCCCCCGCCGCCGCTCCCGGCGCCCGAGGCGCGCGTCTGCGCCGCGCAGCGCCGCCGGTGGCGCGCGGTCGCGGGCAAGGTCGCCCGCGGCGAGGAGGTCGTCGTCGTCGTCCTCGGCGGGTCCATGCTCGCGGGCACGGGCTGCAGCCCCGGAGGCGTGGCCTGCGCGTACCCGAGCCGCCTCGCCGGCGCCTGGCCCGCGGAGCCGGGTTCGCCGCGGCCGCGGCTGCGCGTCGTCAGCCGCGCGCGCGGCGGCACGACGACGGCGTCGACGCTGCCCTTCCTCGAGTACCTCCTCGCGCTCGACGGCGACGGCGGCGGCGCGCCGGACCTGGTCCTCGTCGACTTCAGCGTCAACGACGCGCGCGAGTCGCAGGACTGGACGACGGACATCGACGCGGAGACGACCGCCGCGCGGCCCTTCGGCCGCGGCGACCGCGTCTTCGCGGCGACGGAGGCGCTGCTCCGCTTCGCGCTCGTCGCGGACGCGTCGGCGCTCCTCGTCGTCGAGTCGCAGTACTACGAGGCCTCGAGCCTCGCCGCGCACCGGCGCGCGGCGGCCCGCTACGGCGTCGCCTTCGTCGCCTACGGCGACACGCTCGCCGACCCCGTCGTCGACGCCCGGGACTGGGGGCCGCCGAACGACACCGCGACGAACTGGGCGCACCCGCCTGCGGCGACGCACGCGCGCGTCGCGGCGGCCGCGGCCGCGTACGCGGCGCGCGTCGTCGCCGCCGCCGGCGGCGGCGACGACGACGCGGCCTTCGCGGCGCGCCTCGCGGCGCCGGCGGCGGCGCCGGCGGCGCTCGCGGCCCAGTTCCGGGTCTGCGGTGCCGCGCTGTCGACGTACGACGCGCGGCGCGCGTTCGCCGCGAACGCGTCCGCCGCGCCGCGCCCCCGCGTCGTCCGGGGCGACTGGACCCTCGCCGAGGACCGGCCGGGCAAGCCCGGCTGGATCGCGACTACGGCCGGGTCCCTCCTGGCCTTCGACGCCGAGTTCGGGCCCTCGCCGCGCCTCGTCGTCGTCTTCACGCGGAGCTACGCGAGCTTCGGCGACGTCCTCCTGTCCGTGCCGGGCCACAAGCGGCTCCACGTCAAGGGGCCCCACAAGGGCCAGGAGGAGAAGGAAGTCCTCGCAGGCTGCTGTAACGGCGACAAGGTCACGCAATCCGAGCTCCGCGTCGTCAACGTCGCCCAGTTCTTCAGGGTCCCGCCGAACGCGACGGCGACCGTCCACCTCGAGCTCCAGGGCGCGAGGCATACCAAGGCCATGGTGTCCCTCCTCTCCACGTGCTAGGGCGACCTGCGGGAAATTCCGCGCGACGTCAAGCGCCCCACGTGATTCGAGTACACTGGGGATCTGCGAGCCTACTGAGGCGTCGTTACCACGGCGCGTCGGCGCGCACGCCCGCGAGGACGCCGTCGGCGAAGCGGGACCTCGCCGAGCGCGAGCTTCCGGTTGACGCCGGCCGCCGCGAGCCGGAGCGTGCGGTCCGGCACGAACACGAGGGGACCGATGAGGTCCGCGGACATGGCGTACTCGAAGCTGCCGACGAGCGCCGCGTGGAGAGCATGTCTCGGAGTTGCAGCAGCGCCGCCGCGTGGTCCGGCAGGTCCTCGTGGACGGCCGCGAGCGCGCGCGCGTTCGCGCGCCGCGACGGCGCGACGGCCGCGAGCTGCAGGGCGCCCGCGAGGAGCGCGAGCGGGCACGCGGCGGCGAGCGCGTCGGCGCGCCAGGCGCCGAGGGCCGCGGCGCGCGTGTCGCCGCCGTAGCTCGACGGGCCGCCGCCGGAGATGAGCGCGACGGCGCGCCGCACTTTGTCGTGGTGTGCTCTTTGCTGGGCTGCTGCTTCTCGGGCGCCTCCGCGCCTTTGGCGTGCCCTTCCACGTCGGATGCCGCCGCGTCTTTCATAATTATAATATCATCATGGCTCATGGTTGCGTTTGCATGCGCGAAGACGGGCTGCCATCAAGGGGAACTTTATTATTTTATTAAGCCTGGGGATGCAACTACATGTAAACGATTGACGGCCGCGCGAGCTCCTGTCCGGTTCGACGCTCAATAAACCAAAGTTACTCCAGATTTCGTGGCTACGGACGAAAGCGCCGTGGGCGTCTCATGGGCTGCGATGGGCGTGAAATCACCACTTGCAGCCCCATAGCGCCGCACGACGACCCTAGCGTGCATGGCCCCCAAGGCGACTCTCGGGGGGACGAACGAGGTCTGTCCGTCGGAAGAGACGCGACGCGAAACCGATTGCGTGGAGCTGAG